CACCCACCCACACCCACACCCACCCCAAATTAATCAATACACCAAATTTCGAATCACCACCTGATGATCGATGGTTGGAAATAAGTTTTCCTACATTTAATACATTAACATTAGAAAGTGTGAATCGTAATTTATATGTTTATCCAAAACGAACTGGTTTCAACCGACGTAAGCATGGTAATTTCAATGTGTTTGATTTGTTAGCATTAAATGAACCAGAAAGTAATCAAAATATTCGTTTATATCATGGTACAGATGTTGAATCGATCAAAAAAATTTGTCAGTACGGTATTAATTTATATGCATCTCATCGTCTCGGATCAGATTTTGGGCCGGGTTTATACGTAACCGAGAATTTTGATGGTGAGCTTTTGAATTTTGTAAATTTATTCAGTTGAATTGTTATGTTTTTTAGATGCTTTATATGTAGCAAATAAGAAAGGTTTACGTAATCAAACACTTGGTGGTGTAATATGTTTTCAACTTGGTGAAAGTGAATTATCTCAATTTAAGATTCAAGAACTTACCGAAAAGTTGGAGCAATGTAATGATCCTCTGGAATGGTCGAATTTTGTTAAGCTATGTCGTCGTCGTTTTCATGAATATCCACATATGCTGCGACGGGATGCATTTCGTGGTGCAATTTGCAACAATGCTGAACGTGTTCGGCTATTCGAGAACGAACGACCGGTGCCAAGGGTCATCGATTACAGAAAGCCAATACAAATACGCATCAAAAGTACAAATATGGCATGTAAATTAGAGGATGCAATTATGGGAGTATATTTGATTGGTGTAACATCGCCATAAACTTTCTTTTTCATTGTTTTTTGGTTTTTTTGTTTGTTCTTTCATCTTTTGTTATGTTCTATGGTAGATTTGAATAAACTCATTTCACAAAGTTCTTTTTTTTGTATGTGTGATAATGTGTTTGTCTTTTTGTGGAAAGTTTTTTGCCGGTAATAATAAACAATGATGACATTGACGACCCTGATGAGGAGCAAAACAAGAAATCAGCAAATCGCTGTTGTTTGCGATTGTGTATTTTTTCTCTTAGCTCATCATTTACATATATTCGTAACAATGTTCGACTCGGATCAGGTAAAAATTCGGGTCGACTTATGAATAAATGTTTGGATTTCGAGATGGATCTTTAGTCCGAACATTTTGCAGATACAAAAGGCATTTTTAATGTTTTTCTTTCATTTAAAATTTCTATCAGAAAGCGTGAAAATGCTTAATAGAACAAGAAGTTACGTATCACACGTTCTTTTCTTCTACTTCACCGACATTTCTTTATTGACATCGGACAACGATGCATAGCGAGTGCATTGTCTATTCAATGATAATATGAAGATCGCAAGTTGTATACATAAGAAAAGAAAGGCAAACAAGAAAAAATTCTGTCACATAATCGTGTTGTCGCAAACTGCGGAATATCGGCGAAATATCAATTACGAAAAGACGTCAACGACGTATCCCTTGTTTTCAACTACGAAATGAAAGGAAGAAAAAAAGGATTGAGAAATTGATTTACTCAAGAGAAAGAGAAAAGTGGTCGACACCAGAGTCCGACTCGGGTTAGGTCGGACCGGGTCAAAAAAAAAACAGATGACCTTGGGTCGGGTCGGGTCGGATCCGGCTCTGCTCAGGTTGGGCCAAAAAATTGATGAGTCGGGTCGGATCGGGTCACAAAAATTTGATCCATGTCGGACACTTGTACGTAAGACGACGAAGAAGTATTAGAAAGAAAAAAGGAGTCTCTTACTAAATGGTAACAACAGTAGAGTGGTGTTATATCCTTCCCCATCAATCGACCATATTTGACAATGCTTTAGGGTAAACTATCAGGCCGAGCAGCTCAACAGATGTATCGACATTTGGTAATCTATGATGGTACAGAACGAACGACAAGAAAACTCTTTTCTTTCTTTTTCTTTTGCTTGATTTCATATTGATGGTACCGATGAGGTTTCTCTCTTGTATATCTATGTATTGATGTAACAACAGGCAGAGTTATTATTCGTATCCTTTGTTTCTTCTTTTGAGTAAGATTCACCATCAATGTAGTTTTCATATTTTAATTTGAACAAGTATTTGATTATTTGAAAACAAAACATAATTATGTTTTTCTTATTGTTTTATTTAAATAAAATAATTCTTTTATATTTTTGTTTTAAAGATTCATTTATCGAATGGTCAATTAGATAATTTATCATATGATCGACGTGAAAGAGTTTATTCCGATAGTTCAACTGATAATATAAATTTCAATCGAACAAATCCATTATATCTTTCACGGTATCGTAATTCTTGTTGGTTTCGTTGTCGAACATCATCATCATCATCTAATGAATATAATTCATCAAATTTAAACGATAAAATTTCATCATTAAATTCTATAACGCTATATGCTCGTTTGAAACGCTTTACTGAACGATTACTTGAATTAGAACGTAAAGTACATCAAACTGTTTTTGAAAATAAATGTGATCAAAACATTTCATCAAAAACGGATAATTCAATTGAAAAAAATCGATCGATCGTTGAAAAAAAACGACGATCAATTATCTTCAAATGTTAATCAACAATATTTGGAAAAAAATCTTTTCGTTTACGGATACAAAAACCATTAAATACAAAGTAGAAAAATTTGATTTTAATTATTTCTTTTTTTGTTGATATAAATTTGTTTTTTTTTGAAAATATATTTTAGTTCGAAAGTTAAAGTTCGTCGTATTCAAAGTTATCCACAATTAAGAAAAAAACCCTTGAATCATATTCCATTACGTAAAATAAAAACACTGTCAGCTATTAAATTCTTAACAATGGAATCTCAATCTCATTCATCGTCTCATTTGCCATTTCCAATAACAAATAAAAATATTCTTCAAGAAAGATCAACTCCTGTTGTTAAAGAAAAACAAATTTCATTTGAAGTTAATACAAATAGTTATAATAGAAAAGTTCAAGTTAAAACAAAACAAGAAGAAACAAAATGTACAACTAAAAAACTTACATCTCCTATATCACCACCTATAGTTACTCGGATTATTAAAACTGAAACACTAATTTCATTATCTTGTGTTAGTGTAAATCAACGAAGACGATCTTCAAGTATATATTTTATTTTTAATAAAAATTAATGTTTTGTTTATTTATTTATACTTTTTATAGTTTCAAATAGTTCTATACAAAGTGTTCGTGTCAGTGTCAGTTCATTACCTCATAGAAAGGAATTGGAAATGTCAATAAAAACAAAATTTTCTTTTCCATCTTCTTCAAAAATAACTTCAAATGAAGGAACTTCATTAAAAGATGATTCTTATTCATCAACAATATCAAATTTTGTCTCAGAAAATCTTGTTGAACCATCAATATTAGATGACGAAGAAACATTTGATCGTCGATCTCTACTTGATTTTATTAGTGAATTGAATCGACGTCATGCATTAAATCAATCATCAACAATTCCTTCTCCTCCTCCTCCTTTTAATAATAATGATCAATCAATTAAAACAAGAACACTTTCACCATCACCAACAGATATTCGACTACCAAAACCTTTAAGTCCTTTTAGACCAGTTATTCTTCATAGAAAATATCAAGTAAAATAGACATTAGTTTTTATTCTTTTTCTTTTTCTTTTAAAATTTATTAAAATCTAGGAACAAATTGGTCGTTTTGAATTTGTCGATGGTAATGAAGATTCAATATCATCATTTAGTCGACGTAATAGTCGAGTTTCAGTTATACGTAGTCATACATTTAATAATCCAAATAATGCTAATTCAAATTTAATGAAAATATCTTCAGATGAAATAAAATCAAATGAAAATGTAACATGTCAATCAACACCTGAATTAAGTTGTTCGAATGAAAGAGAAAGAGAAAGAAACTAGTCTGTAGTTAATATGGAAGAAGCTTGCGGATTGTCAGCAAATGGTACTATTCGAACTAGTACATCACTGACAGGGTTGACTCCTACGTCTAGTGGAACGACCGACGACAAGAACTAGGTATGCACATATTCTTTTTTCTTTTCTTATTGCTTTATCAAGACAACTACCAGAAGAAAAAATTATCAGATAGACGATAGAAATGCCTTCGCATAATTTTCTCTGCTTTCATCTAATATCCATCTTATGAGTCTATCTAACGTCAACATAACAAACCCATAATATTTATAGATGGAATGTCAAATGTGATCCATCTAATGTCGGATCAAAAGACATCACATTCACATCCTATAATCCACTCATCAACACCTATTCCTAATGATCAATCATTGATTTCAAAACTCACATTTTATGCTGTTAGACGTCATCATTCAGCACCACAACAAGATTGCCGTTGGCAGCAGGTTTGATTTTATTCTCTTATCGACTTTTTTTTTTCGTTATTCAATAATAAATAACATTCATATTCAATTTATTCTATATTTTAGGCTAAACGAAAAGCTATAGCTATGCAAATGTATGATACAGAAAAATCTTATGTTGAAGCACTCAAAAATCTTGTTACAGTAAATATAGAAATTCTTTTTTTTTGTTCTCTAAGAAGTTTTTTAATGAAATATTGACATTGTAAAATGAGAAATATTCTTAATTGTTTATGTAGTTGTCAATGTCAAATAAATGATTTTCTTTTTTAGAAATATTATTTACCAATGAAAGATAAAGCAGTTATTTCTAATGATCTTGTTAATGAGGTTTTTTATAAAATACCTGAAATTCATATTCATCATACGGTATTTCTCATTTATTCTTTAGTTTTTTCTTTTTAATTAAAAGAATATTTTCATAGGCATTTCTTATATCACTTTCACAAAAATTATCTCAATGGGATAATAAACAAACTGTTGCTGATCTTCTATTACAAATGGTAAATATAATTTAAATAAAAACAAATATTCTTTTCCAATTTAATTAAAATAGTTTACTCGAACATTAGTCATTGAAACTTATACAAGTTTTGTTAAGAATTATAAAACAGGCCAAATAGCTATTCGTCTTTGTCGTGATTCATCATCATTTAATAAATTTCTTGAACATCAAGTACGTAATCATCGTGGTAAATTAACATTAAGAGATTTAATAATTCAACCGGTGCAACGTATTCCAAGATATGAATTATATATAAAAGATTTTCTAAAATGTACAAATTTAAATCATCCTGGTTATCAATTATTGCTTAAAGCACAATCAGAAATCCATTCATTAGCTGAACAAATTGATCAAGTACAAAAAGATGTTGGCTCAACTGAATTAACTGTTACAAATAATTCATTAGAAGCTGTTCAAGATATTATTGAAAATTTAACTGATGTTTGTCTTATTTTCCTTTGCTTGACAAAAATAAAGATTGTTCTTTTTTTTTTCTTGTAGTTAGTCAGTGCTGATCGTTATTATATTCGTCATGATGTTGTTACATTTCAATCACCATCAGGATTTAAAAAAGATAGATATATCTTTTTACTTAATGATTTACTTATTATAACAACTTCTAAACGACGAAGTGGAACTTTAACTAAAACAGCAACTACTTCGGTTACTGTCTATGTTTATTTTAGTTGTTTTTATTTAAGAAATTCTTCATCTGGCAAACAATATATTGATAATGCAAAACATAAATTAATAATGAAAATTTCATTGGAAAGCATTTATTTAGCTGCAGGTATATTTAAGAGAAAACTATTCAAATGAATTTTTGCTTACACAATCAAAAGTAGATTCCAATTCAAAATAAGATCCATCATTATAGATATATCATTGTGGATAAATACGCAATAATGACAATGAGTCGATAGTACTCTGCTAGCCTTCCCATGTTAAAAAAAAGTAACCGAAAAAAGTAACTTTTAAGTACTTTCAACATTTTTTTAAGCAGGAAAGAGTACTTATAAGTGAACCTTTTTAAGTACTTTTCATATTTTTTCACTAAAAAGTACTTAATAGTACTTTGTAAAGTGAAAACAGTATGAGAAAGTATTTTTTAAAGTGGAAAAAGTATGAGAAAGTACTATAAAAAGTGAATAATAGTAAGAAAAGTTACTTTATTTTACTTTATTAATATTAAAGATACTTAAAAGTGATTTTGGTTCACTTTTTTTACATGGATAGTACCCTAGTTGTTGACATGGGAGGTCGTGAACCCCATTTACCCATATTTAGAAGTGTAAGCTGAGCGGCTGAACCACCGCAAATGGCTGCGAAAATGTTTTAAAATCTCAAGTGCCAACGACACCATTCTGGGTATGGACGTAGTTTTTTCCCTGCATCTGTGCATGCCACTCCACCCAGATCCACATCCTATTTTTGATTAAAACATATATGTCAAACGTGAAAGTTGAATTCAATTATTGAAAAGATGTTTCAATTATTCAATTATTCAATTGTTGAACAGTTGAAGTCCAAATATTAAAATATTCAACTATTGCTAAAAGAAACACACATATCGCATGGCACCAGGTGTGGATACCGCGAAAGGACTTGCCTGTGAAAAGACACAGGGCATCTCGCTTGCTGTGGGTGTCGCGAAAGCACAATAATTGAATACTTGAACTTCACGTATTCAATAATTGAATTCAACTTTCACGTTTGACACTACTTGTAGCACGTAAACCTTTTAACAGAATCAGAAAGATTTGTTCGATCTCGTGCATATCTCTAACTATTATCGTCAATAAAGTATTTATATTTTGAAATTCAAGTTAAAATAAAAGTGCTTAGCATATCGCTCATGATAATATGACTAATGTTAACAAAAATTTATCTTTTCATAAAAGAATTAAGAACCGAATGAATACAAACGAAACTCGTAGTTAATAATATAAACGTGGAATTTGAACTGTTTTTTTTTCAAATTTATTTTCAGTTATTCCTACCTTCATTAGTCTTATTATTGTCCTTCGAAGGACTAGATCAATTAATATCGAGAAAAAATTCTTTGACATGAACAAGAATAGCACAAATGAATTTTATAAATAAAGGTACCATTGATGACATTGGTTCAGCGTTTGTTTACGGAGACAAGAAAAATGTTAACAAATAAAGAACAATACTTAAATAACTAAAGATACTTCCAATGATGACACATGAGAAACCGCAATAATCAGTAAAAAACGCTTGTATGAATATATATATGACTGTGGCTAAATATAGAAACCGAAAAATCTTTTGTTTGGTTGTGAAGTGACGCGAGCAAATTGAAAAAAGATTCTATCATAATTTAAATCAATAGATTGAAGAAGAAAGATTTTCTTATTTTCGAACATACATGAAAGATTAAAATTCGATTTTCGTCAAGTAAAACTATTAGCGTGTCTTATGTATGGAATCATTAAAGAATTTGATCGAAAGCTTCTACATAAACAATTTTTTTCAAATACCAGTTCAATTATCCAAAACAAATAAAACATTACTCGATATGGAAATATGATGCTTTTAACAGTAACAGAATCGTAACGCGGACAATTTAACGAACATTTCTATAGCACAATTGATTTTTCCATAAGAGAGTTCTACGTAAAAGTACACTCTTCTTACATAGTTATTGATTTTTTTCCTGAACGATTGACTGAATGGATGAAATAGATAAGGATTTTTCTTTGATAATACTATCGTGCTAGTTTTACACTTTAATAATTCTATGATTTTGTTTACTATACGAAAAAAATGACTTCTGAGAACTAAATTGACTTCAGTTTATAAATAAAGGATGGAAAACCGCTATAAATGGTACTCAATGATTCAGATTTCTAATTGATACGAAATAGAATCTATTATTTTTTCAACTAATTGTTCAATTTTGATAGAGATTCGATGTTTTCCAGTGGCATATTTGTTCTTTGTGAATAATTTTGCAGAATGAAAAGAGTTATATTTTACAGGAAGATTTTCATTGTTTTTTTATTAATGTATGACTAGAAATATATTGTAAGAGATCTATGTTGTGTTGATGTTTGAGATGGATTCTAATAATGAATGGGAAAGAATTTTCTTGAATGCGAAGAATTTTTTTATTGATCAATTCTTTTCTTTGTTCATCGAGTTTTTATATCGATTGATCATGGATTTGTTAGATTAAGATTTAGCTTTTTAATTTTTACTGTTTTTCTATGAATTTGACTGGTTGACTCTTGTTCTCCTTGATTAATTTTATTAAATGAGTCCTTTTCATAAAATTAGTTTTCCAAACACTTTTAGTGGTTATTGCTATGACTCATTCATTGAATCATTTCCTATTCAATGATAGTTTCATGTTTATTCATAGATTTAATATGTGAAGAATATAAACATGTATGTCATTATGCGCATATCATTAGAATATATAAAGAGTACAGTTATTCATACCAGTTGAACAAAAGAGACAAAAAATCGATATGCTGATGATTGAGAGCAGTTATCTTTTAGAGTACAGAGTAGAACAACATAGTTTAGGGTTTTATCATTTAAATGAATTGTCGCATAGCCTCATTCTCTTTAAGTAATTAGTTGTAAATTAAAATGACATGTAAAGTGAGGTCTCTTTTGAAATTATGCAAATTTTTATTTAAAATTTATTCGAGTAAAAATTTTGTTGTACGACTGAAAATCATCAGAAATCAAATTTTTTTGAGTTCGCATACGTTACCATCTTGATTTCGAATTATTTTATTAAATTCATTATTTCATTTAATGATTGAAAATAAATAAAATAAGGTAAGTGTGTCGAGATGAATTTCAAATGTAGGATCTGTTTTTTTCATATAAGAATAATAAGATTCTCTCTTAAATGATAATGTAACGAAAAAAATTGTCAATTTCATTCGTTCTGTAAAATACAAGTGGCACTCCAACATTTTTTCGCCAGTCCTTTAGACAACAAGGTCACAGAAGTCGTTTTTTCAGATCATCTTTTTTGAGGTCACTTATGACTTATTTTAACACAGTTAAGATTGCATTGACAACGTTGAATTTCATTCCATGTAGTTGATATTGGAGTTTTGAAAACAGAAATAAGTAATATATAAGTTCAGATCTAGTGAATATGTTAGAGGGTGGATGTGGGTGGGTGTGGGTGTGGGTGTGGGTGTGGGTGTGGGTGTGGGTGTGGGTGGGTGTGGGTGCGGGTGTGGGTGCGTGTGGGTGTGGGTAGGTGTGGGTGTGGGTGGGTGGGTGTGGGTGTGAGTCTTCGCTTTATCCACACCCACACCCACCCACACCCTATTAATATGTACAGATATTCATGATGATGAATTAGATGAAGATTTCAAAGATACTGATATTAAAATGAATTA